GAAGTTGGGCCAGGAAAAATGGTCCAGATTCAAATCCATATTTAGTATCTGATAATACTTTAAAAAAGATTACTTCAAATAGAAGGATACTTATGCTTAGCGCTCGCACAAAAAAATCATCACAATGACAGCTGTCATTTTTTTAAAAATGAAAACCGACACAGACAAACTAAAAGATATTTACACAAGGTTCCAAACAGGAAAAATAAGAGAAAAACATATATATTAAAAAAAATTTTTGACCATTAATGACATTTTGACCATATTAATAAGTTGTCAATCAATGTCTACAATAAAAATATATAACAAAGTATAAAAGCATAACAATTTGTGGTTTTGGATTTTATAATCATGCCATCCAAGACACTTGAACCCAAATAACCCCATTGGTTTGAAGAATAGTCTTGATATACTCCTCCGGTCCTAATTATAAGATTCAATTGACTTATTTGAGGAGATTAAGGAAGTAAGTTAAGTTGGTTATTTATAATAAATAAGTGTTGTCGTTCCTAAAATATCCTTGCTAATTAAGTATATTGGCTAAAATTATCATTATTAGAAGGATTATCTTGGAAAAAAATGCATAAATATAAAAAACAAAATGGATTGGGGTCTTATAATTAGGACCAAATAAAAAGTCAAATGGGGTCTTATAATAAGGACCGGAGGAGTATTTTATTTTATTAGATTTGAACATTCCAATGTGATTTTTTCCCTAACACGCTGCGGTTAGGTAATCTACTTAATTTAAGCAATTTTGTCCCTCTAATTTATTTATAAGAACAAATTTATTATCTAATTTCAATTAAATCAATCTTGCCCCATTATTTTTAGAAGAATAGTTAAAATAAATTTGACTTCCATTAAATTGTTAACAAAATTTTACTACTCTTTCATATAATCAATATTACGTTTAATTTAACACTCCTTTAACTAACATTAAACAAACTAAATTATTCTAAAGAACAAACAAGAAAAAGACTGGAAACCAAATAATATAAAGACAACAATTCTAAATAGATTTAAAAAGACTAAATACTTCTCCGATCCTAAATATAAAACCTTTATACATACTAATATAAGAATCTTATATTTATAACTCGAGGAGGATCATTTGATGCCAAGATTATCATTCTGTTCATCCTGGGTCATCTTCTGTTCATTAAGAAACTACTGAATATATTAAAAAACTAATTCAACACTTTTTTTTTGGGGGGGGGGGGGGGGAACCAATTCTCTAGAGACTTCCCAACAAATCAACCTCACATTCACATACACGTATGCTTCGCATTTAATCTAAACTTGATAGACAGACCTGAAAAACATTTTTTCCTTCTACGAACTTATTATTACACCCACAATGGTGTCTTGCAAATCATGATTATTTTCAAATAGAATCTTCCATATTCATATATTTGTGCTTCTACTCATGACATAAACATTAACATTTGAATCTAAAAGGTAGGTCCCCCGCATTATCAAATGTAGGACCTATCTTATTTGTCTCTTATCTCTTTCTTTACTTTCAAGTGCACTATGACTGATTATTCCTTTTTTTTTTTTTCCTACCCCTATCTATAGGCACATTTATTTCTATGAATATAGAAGATTATAAGGCATCTAGTTGATTCACCTTGCTGATACTAACGGTGAATCCATGGTATCATCTGAGGTATCAAAACCAGAATCTTCACTTTTACTCAAAGCATAAACAACATCCACCATGCTAGGCCTCTTTGTTGGATCCTTATGCAAGCAAGCAAGGGCAACATTAAGCACACTCCTGAGACTTTCCATTGAACATGTCTCTCTCAAGAGAGAACTATCCAACCATTCCCTTAGTCTCTTGTTCTTCTCTTGGTCACTACCCAATTCAAAAGCTCTTACCACAGTTGTCCACAAGGGATTTCCTCTATCATCAATGGCTTCTTTGCCTGTGATTAGTTCAAGCAGAACTACCCCGAAAGAGAACACATCCATCTTGGTTGAGACTACACCATCAGCTAAATATTCAGGAGCTATGTAACCTTGAGTTCCCACAATGTGCATTGTGATGGCATTCATTCCCGACTTTGCGAGTCCGAAATTAGCTATCTTGGCTCTCATGTTAGCATCCAAGAGGATGTTGCTACTCTTGATGTCTTTGTGGACAACCCTTGGCCTTGTGTGCTCGTGGATGTATTGCAAGCCATTGGCTACATCAATGGCGACGTGCAGCCTCATTTTCCAGTTCAACCGCTCTGTCCGGTCTTCATGCAACCATGAGTAGAGGGATCCGTTTTCAACATATTCATAGACTAGATAGCAGTTTGCTTCATCGTCGTCAATGCAAAAGCCCTCTAACTTCACCAAATTCCCATGGTTCACCTTCATCGTATATAAGAGGATTGTGCATTGTTAGTCATTTATTTGGGAAAGTTGTTATAGAAAAAAGAATGAAAAGGTCATGTATCAGAGTAAAGAATAAGCCTGTTTGGAGAGAAGCCTAGAATTACTAATGCTATTATTTGATAACGAACCTCCTCTTATTTGCTGATATTTTAGCTTAGCTAAGAGCCGTCATATAGGAACACAAAGGAACAAAGCAGAGGCGGCTTTCGTCTCTTAAGGTGACTTTAAGCTAACCTAACCTACTGCTTTATCAGACAAAGTCAAAAAAACCCGCATCCAAAAAAGACCTTAAGCAAATCGAATAAGACAAAGTTGGAAAGACCTTCTTAATCATGCCATTAAATTAAATACTTAACACTCTTTCCTAATCTTATCTAAGCACATTTTTAAAATATCTGACTGGGTGTAACTTAAAACCACCACTTTCACCAATGATGCACTGTTTTAGATGTATATTCACATGAATCTAATAGATTAAAAGTCTGAAACCATGGGTAACAAGTGGCAATTTTGTTATTTTCTGACCCTGCCCTATTTCTATATCAATCAGATTAATTTTTGTTTAGTAACCAAGTAACATGGGAATCATTAAATATTTGGTATATAAGGGAATCCACAGGTTTATTCCCTTGGTTTGGTGGAGTACACCGAAAGTAAAGGAGAGGAGGAGAGTGACATAACTCAAAAAATACAATTTGTAGTTTTGCAAACTCTGGTATTATATTAACATAGGAAAACCTTGCAAATGAAAAAACAAACCCTTCCGTTGACCTCAATATGAGGCAAGTCACCTCGCTTGATCCTTTCTAATTTCCACATATAATTTCCTAATTTTTAATATTGCATGAAATTTAAGAAGTATTTATAAATAAATTACAGTGCTTGGATTGAATGACAATTGAAGAATTCAACATCTTTTAAATAAAGTCCTGAACTCGAGTCTTGTAGTTGACAAAAACCAATTATGATTTTTTCATGAGGGTTCAACCCAAACTTAATTTAAACTACTTCATAATATCAAATACCATATGGTTTATCAGCAACAATATTGATAAAAAAAATGCCACTTTTTTTTTTATATATTTAACATGATTTTCTTTTAAATCAATGATGGCCTCATATAGCATGTGGCTTCTTATAAATTTTAAAAAATGGAACTTGTAGTAATTTTGTAAAATTAAAACTTTAATTTTAATTTTCTCCACTTTCATCCTAGACGGCCTGGCTTTTTTCCATGATCATGAAGTACTTAATATATATATATGTGTGTGTGTGTGTTTAGCCAGCAAAACATAAAGTACTTTTGATTAGTCTACCATATCTTCCTTTTCATAAATAAAAGCGTATTTTAAAAAATAAGTTATAATTTTTACATATTTATTAATTAATTTAATTAAGTTATTTTGTATTTTCCCCCCCTCTCTAACAAGAAATGAAAAGTGGTGAACGTAACGTGTAAACAAATTGGAAAATTAATTATAGTTACCTTCTGTAAGATCTTGAGCTCCTCGTAAGCGTTCCACTTCATCTTCTTGATGGCATAGACCTCTCCATCAATGGTTCCTTTATACACAGACCCAAGAATCAAGCATCTCTGATCAAACCCATTTGTGGCTTCTCTCAGTTCTTCATACCCAAAAACCCTATACTTATCCAAACAATCCGACACATTCGCCATCAATTTCGCCTCCGCTTCCTTCGATCCCTTCGTGCCCGTCGCAAAGCTCTGCTTATGCTTCTCTTCATCTCCGACCACCACCGCCAATTTGTCCTTGAATAGAGCCTCTCTGTAAACCCACAGCCCCAAAACCAGAATCAACAATAACCCCACAATCCCTAGCCCAATCGCCAATCCTCTCACAGTTCCTGTTCTGTCGCGGGAAGTTACAGATGCGGCAGGGGACGAAGCCGGCGGCGCCGAAGTATTAACCGGAAGCTGCGTCAGCACCGGCAATCGCGACACCGGAACGAAGATAGTATCAAATTCTCGGAAATTTTTACGGTTAGCATCGATTATTGACTGCGGTTTCGATCCAAACATGGTGGCAATCGACGATACGTTATCATTCGGTTGAACCACGTAGGAAATCAGGATGTTCTCTCCGTTTCGCAATTGCGTCGTGTTAGGGCACTTGCAGAACACAGGGAACACGGCGCTGACACCGATTGTCAAATTCGTCGGGATAAGGGTGGGGTTCACGACTTCAACGGATTGGTAGGTCGTGAGGTTCCTGTAGCTAAACGAGGAGACTTGGTAGAACGTGTCTCCTTTCTTGATGGTGTAGGAGAGATTCGCATAGGAGATGGCACCGAAGGTTGAGTTGATGAAGTTGCAGGAGCAAAATAAAGGAACGAAGAGGGGTTGGTTTGGGGCTAAAGTTGAATTAGGAGAAGAAATGTTGCTTGGTTGTGCTATCATGGGGCGACTAACGGAGAAGAGGTCACCAATGGAGGCGAGGTCGAGGAAATTAGGAGCTGAAGCTTGGTAAAAGGCGTAGGTCCGGCACGGGTAGCCGGAGCCGGTCTGATTAGCGGGGCACTGGTAGCCGGTGGTGTTGGGTTGTATCTGGTCCTGAGCTTGTGAAGGATGAAAAAGATGAAGGAGGAGGAAGAAGAAAAGAGGAAGATGGTGGGGTATGGAGTTTCGGATTCTCATCATTTTCTGTTTGGATCTTCTTGGTTTTGGGGTTTCTGGTTCTGATTGTTGAGCTTTGAAGTTGGTTGGGTTGTGAGGGGGTTTATATGGAGGAGGCGGAAGAAGGAGGTGAGGGGGGGTTACAGAACAGAAGGAACCGTGGTCAAGATTTTAGTCAACCAGGGTGTTATTGTCCCGTGACGAAACTTGAATTCGACTAATTCGGTTTGCTGGTGTGAAACTGTGAATGGGGTATAGACTTGTGGCATTCATATTAGCTTTGTACTGGCATTGGAGGATCCCGCGCTCACATTTGAAATTATTTATTATTTATAAATAAATGTTTTATATAAGTTATAATAAATTTTTTTTATATTTATCTCATATTTTATAAATTATTATTAAAAGGTAATTTATAAGTCATTCTAAACAAATTATATACTTAAACCCTCTAGCATCCAATACTTACTCAGATACTCTTTTTACGTTATTCATAAGACATTTATAGCTTGAATGTAGAATGTATGCCCCGTTATTATTATAAGATACAACTGCTACAATTGAGTAATTAAAAATGTTACTTAAATTTAGTTAAAAACAATAAATATAAAAGATATATATGTTTTTTAATTATATTTTTATTTGTAAAAAGAGTAAATGAGAAATAATGAGTAAATATTTATTGTTATATTTAATGAGAATAAAAGTAAAACGATAAGTTTAAAATTTTAGACAAAGATGATTTTTTTTCCCTTATATTTAGAGACACTGTTACGAGAGAGAATGTTTTTTTTATAAAAAGAGATAGATGGAGTATTAATTTTTCCTTAAAATATAATAAATTTTTAATTTTATTCCCATTAAATATATATGCACCTTTTTTAAAAAAATAACTATATATACTATAATAAATAAAATAATAAAATAATACATTTATATTAAATTTTAAATGAAGTTATTTATAAATAAGACCAAAAAAAATGTTCCCCTCTGCTACATTCTCTTTAAACAAAAAAGTATATGCAAATCTTGATGCGGCAAAACCATTAATTTAAATGAGGCGAGTTGAAGTAAAAATATACTCCTCCAGTCCTAATTAGAAGACCCGATTGACTTATTTGAGGAGATTAAGGAAGTAAGTTAAGTTGGTTATTTATAATAAATAAGTGTTGTTATTCCTAAAATATCCTTGCTAATTAAGTATATTGGCTAAAACTATCATTATTAGAAGGATTATCTTGGAAAAAAATACATAAATATAAGAGACAAAATGGATTGGGGTCTTATAATTAGGACCAAATAAAAAGACAAATTGGGTTTTATAATAAGGACCGGAGGAGTACAACATTAGGATCTTAAATTTAAATTTTAAAAAATTAAATAGTTTATATGCTCAACTAAATTAGAGCTTGGCAAAATGTGTTTTAGCCCATTTTATATTGATAAATCTTGATTTGATTTAAAAGGTTTGACCGATGGGACAATTTTTTAAGGGGCAAAAAGAGAAATATTATTCATAATTTTAAATTAAAAATGTAAATATAGATAGATTGAAAAATATTTAATATTTACACTTCAAAATTATATATTTATGAATCCAGTTACCTCATTAACAAATCAAATTTAACAATTTATATTTATAAGACAAGCTTTCGTATTTATATTCAACAGTTTATATTTATGAGACATTTTATATTTATAAGTCAAGTCATATGCTGGCAAAAAAAAGGAAAAGTTGAGTTGTATGGTTACTCTTCTACTTATATTTATAGAGATGAGAGAGAGTATTTTCTGTTTTTAATACAAGTCCCATTATTAAAATTATTATATGAATTTATAATTTTAGTTTTAATATACCACTTCCAGTCCTTAATATAAGAACTGGTTGATTAATTTGGAGAGATTAAGTAAATTAGTTAAGTTAGTTACTTGTTATAAATAGGTGTTGTCTTTCTTAGAATACTTTTGTTCATTATGTATAGTAATTAGAATTACTACTACCATTTGATAAAATATTTAACATGTGCAACTATTACAAAGATTATTTTAAATAAATAAATAAATATGAAAGACAAAGTGGATTGATATGTTATATTTAGAACCAAATTAAAAGTTAAACAAACTCTCATACTACTTCAGGTCATTAATATAAGAGCTTGATTGATTTTTATTTTGGTCTTAAATATAAAATTTCAATTCGCTTTGTCTCTAATATTTATCTACTTTTTTTAAGAGAGTCCTTGTAGTAATAGTAGTTCCACCTAATACACTTGATTAGGAATAATATTTTAGAAAAAATAACACCTATTTATTATCAATAATTAGCTTAAAAATTTTTTAATTTATTTAAATTAATTAATTAGCTTTTATATTAATTACAGAATGTGGTAATGAATTCTTTTTGCGTTTTTTGGTTCTCACCAAAAATACTAAAAAGTCGTTAAATTTTAGAAAAGAGTTAAACAAAACAAAACAAAAGTAATTATGATGACCTTTTGTGCGGGGCGCACCAATAGGAGCTGGTGGAAAAACTAAGGGCTTGAACGGGTCACGCTAACAGGTGGCGTTCATTCAATGGCTGCTGCAAACAGCAGAGAGGCTGGCCCATAAGTAATTACCACCCTGTGACTACTGACTCCATCACTAGTCAAGCGGCTTGAATATTCTGAGATCGTGGGCCCCGCAAAGTGACGCATTTAATAAAAAATTTAAAAATGCACTAAAAGTCCAATATATTGATGAGATATTGTTTGTTATTTGTAAATTAACGACTTAAAGGGACAAATTAATTAATTAAAGGGAAAATCACAAATAAAGACGCTCGAATTAGTAAAATCACTCTATGGTCACCTGAATATGCTAAATTACTATGAGGGACCCGGTCTCAAATTATAATTATAAAATCATTGCCAAATTACCAAAATACCCCTCTTTAATTTTTTTTTTTTAAAAAGAAAGCCACTGCTTCACCGGAATCCGGCCACCGGCGCCGGAGCTCCGGCGGCCGCTTCCGGCCACTGTCGGTGGCAGGACGCCGGAGTCCGGCCGCCGGCGGCCGCTTTCGACGATCTTCCTTTGTTTTTTTTTTTGAAACTGTTTTTTTTTTTAAATTGGGGGGAAGTGAGGTTGGGGGGATTTGATCCCCCAACCTAATGCTTCCCAAAATAAGGAATGACCATTAAGCCAACAAATTTTTGTTAACATTATGATGCAAAAAAAAAATAATAAGTTAACTCATTTACTCTTGTTCCAGGTGATAACAACAATACATTTGGAAATAACAAGTTCTGATTGTAAAATAACACGTCTGGAATAAAAATTTAACAATATGTTTTTTTTATAACAATAAATTTTGTTGCAGGCAATAACAACAATACATTTAAAAATAACAAATTCTGATTATAAAATAACAAGTTTGGGATTAAAATTTAACAACACGTTTTTTTTATAACAACACACTTTATTTCAAGTGATAACAACAATACATTTAAAAATAACAAGTTCTGATTATAAGATAATAAGTCTGGGATTAAAATTTAACAACATGTTTTTTTATAACAACACACTTTGTTTTAAGTGATAACAACAATATATTTGGAAATAACAAGTTCTGATTATAAAATAACAAGTCTGGAATTAAAATTCAACAGCACCTTTTTTTTATAACAATTAATTATTTTATACTTTTGGAAAATAAATTATTTATAACTTATAAAAAGTACTTGTAATCTATTTAATTTGCTAAAAAAATAATTTTTATCTCCAATTTATAATCAGAACTTGAAGTCTAATTTTTTATAGATTAAAAATACTTTTTTATTGTTCAAATTTATAAATAAAATTTAGGGAAAATGGCAACACACTTTTTTATTTTTTTTTTTAAATTTTTAATCTATATATCTATACAACTTATTATAAATCAAACTACTTCTTATAAATTATAAATAGTACAATTTATTGTGGATTAAAAATACTTTTTGACTGCTTAAATTTATAAATGAAATTTATCTCTAATTTATAATTAAAAATACTATTTTATTCTTTAAATATAAAAACTATTTTTAATATTTAAAGAATGAAATAATATAAAATTTATACTATGATTAATAAATCAAAAATTCCTTATTATAAATACTTTATAATTTATAAGAAGTAGTTTGATTTATAATGAGTTGTATAGATATACAGATTAAAAAGTATTTTTTTAGAGAAATAAATATATTAAAAATATTTTTTATAAGTTATAAATAATTTATTTTTTAAAAGTATAAAATAATTAATTGTTATAAAAAAACGTGTTGTTAAATTTTAATCCTAGACTTATTATCTTATAATCAGAACTTATTATTTTTAAATGTATTGTTGTTATCACTTGAAACAAAGTATATTGTTATAAAAAAAACGTGTTATTAAATTTTAATCTCAAACTTGTTATTTTATAATCAGAACTTGTTATTTTTAAATGTATTGTTGTTATTACCTGCAATAAAATTTATTGTTATAAAAAAAAACATATTGTTAAATTTTATTCTAGACGTATTATTTACAATCAGAACTTGTTATTTCCAAATGTATTGTTGTTATCACCTGGAACAAGAGTAAATGAGTTAACTTATATTTTTTTTGCATTATAATGCTAACAAAAATTTGTTGGCTCAATGGTCATTCCTTATTTTGGGAAGCATTAGGTTGGGGGATCAAATCCCCCCAACCTCACTTCCCCCCAATTTAAAAAAAAAAAACAGTTTCAAAAAAAAAAAACAAAGGAAGACCGCCGGAAGCGGCCTCTGGCGCCGGAGCTCCAGCGGCCGGACCCCGGCGTCCTGCCGTCGACAGTGGCCGGAAGCGGCCGCAGGAGCTCCGGTACCGGTGGCCGGATTCCGGTGAGGCAGTGGCTTTCTTTTAAAAAAAAAAAAATTAAAGAGGGGTATTTTGGTAATTTAGCCATGATTTCATAATTACAATTTGAGACCGGGTCCCTCATAGTAATTTAGCATATTCAGGTGACCATAGAGTGATTTTGCTAATTCGAGGGTCTTTATTTGTGATTTCCCCTTAATTAAATTAT